CGTAGTTGCTGGGATCCCGCCCTCAGGGTGTGCTGAGACAGATTGAGACTAGGTGTGGTGGCTGATGCCTGTGATCCCTGGGCTTGAGAACCTCTACTAGTCCGATCTACATAGTAAGGCCCTGTTTACCCTATAGGCTCTGTACTAAATACAATTGTAAACTTCGAAAACAAAAACTTATGTAGTTCAATAAGTAGATAAACATTTCTCAAGTAGAAAATTATAAATGGATAACAATATATGGAAACAATGTTCAATGACTGCAGTTGCTAGGAAAATGGAAATGAAACCCTGAGATGCATTTTACTTCCATCAGATTGACTTTCATAATGAAAATAGAAAACACTACATTCCAGCAAGGAGACATGGGGAAAGATTTCTTCTACACTGTTCAAAATACAGATTAGTACAGTCACATGGAAATGGAAGGAAGTTCTGTAGAAAAGAAACCTAAAACAGAGACAACAGTTGATCCAATCCCAGCCACAGTACAGAAAGAACTAAGAATACGATAGTAGAGAAATAACTGCATGGTCACATGTATTGCACTGAAATTCGCAATGGCCAAGCTGTGGAAACAGCACCGGTGCCCATCAGCAGAGGGATATACACAAATTGCTGAATTTTCACAATAAAAAAAGGAAACTATGCCATTTTTTAAGGAAAATTGATGAAACTAGATATCATGTTATGTGAAATGTGCCAGACTCAAATATATATTTAGAAGAAATTTTATAATCTAAGATGACATGGATGTAGAAATGATATTTAGAAACAAAGAAGGCAAGGGGAGAAGAAATAAGGAGTAATAGGAATAAATGATCAAAGTATGTTATATGCATATACAAATATACAACATGAAACCCAATAGACTATAAATTATATGCACCTCCTGGAGTCTATTGAGGACCTTCAGATAGAAAGTCTGGGGAGTGTCTCTAATTGCTGGTCAACAACTATGATCCCTTTCAGCCTGAAGAAACTAGAGCTGTCATTGCCCATGATTTCCCTCATGGAAGTTTGGATTACTTCTTCAGAAGAGGGAATGTTGAGACGTACACATTTACTAATGTAAATACAAAAATAAAATAGGTGTTTATTGTCTTAGGAAGCTGAACGAATTTGTTCTAGAACACAAATAAACATAGAAGACCTTTTATTTTTCACTTCATTCAATGGTCATCTAATTGTACGTGAGAAGAATTTCCACAAAGATGTTTTTCCTGGGGACCATTCTCGGCTATCCCAGTTGGGACAAGGATAAGTGAATATCAGTTTGAAAATCATACCCAAGAGATTTTATGAAGAGCATAAAAATAGCACTTCCATAAAACATTCTGTGTATTTTCTACTATTATTTTCTTAGCTTGTATTTATTAACTTTGATACATCATATTAACTGAAAAATAAATTTGAAGTTAATTCTTACATACTGTACTTGTTTATGTACTGTAACTTTTCCTCTGAAAGTATGAAAAATTCTAATTTAAAGTATATTTTGTAGCTTTTCTTCAGTGATATGGATGAATATAAGGTAAGCAAAAAGACCCGTTTTTTTGGGGGGGCATACATTCTTTACCATATTAGAACATATGGCAATCATAGTGTCTAATCTATACATAAAAGGTAAAGAACATTTCATCCAAGGCTTTCTACATTTTCAAATATGTATTTCAGGACCAGGGATACAGCTCGATGGCACAGTGCTTGCCTGTCAAACACAATGTCCTGAGTTCAATTTCTAGTATCCCTCTCAAATATAAAACAAAACAAAAAATTAATTCAGTGATGCCAGGAAGTAGATTTTTCTTTGTAATTGACTTTCACTTAAAATATTAAATACATTTAAATTTTAATAAATACTTTATCTAATGAATTAGGCACTTGAATAAAGAACAAAGCATTCAAGCACCTGCATATGTAACATAAGTAACTTTAATACAAATTCAGTTTTCTCATAGAGTTATTTGTCCATATGTTACATCCAGATGATTTCATAGATAAATAAAAATATGTTCATTCGCATGATCTTTACTACACAAAACTAAGAAGTATGGTGAATATAAAATGTTACATGTGATGAAAAAGACATAAGAGTGAGATACACTGCAGTGAAGAGTGGAGACACTTAGCAGTCAGCAGACCGACGGAACTGCCCATTTTGATAAAGTGAGGATAAAGACTGGAATGTAAATGTGTGTGCATTGAGAGTGATGAACAATCATCAGAAGTATAATTTCAGACATCACTCAGTCCAGAAGGAAAATCAGTGAGATATTGAAACAACATGAGTTAGGGTTCAAATTATGGAGTTCACACACTTCACAGCCCAAAACAGTTCCTCATCCTCAAGATGCCATTTCTCTTTGGAAACACAGATTTGGACTCAGCGATTCCAGTTGGTTCTAACAAGCCTGATAAACTAAATTTGAGTCGCATAACGAAATGCCACATAACCACACTGAGGAGTCAAGGGATCAGATAGATTCCCCGAAAGACCATCAGGTAGGAGATTTCTCTCCAGGAAAGTCTGCAAATCAAGAAAACTTCTTCTGATTTAATTATTATAAAAAAAGAAACTAAATCAACACTATGTTCACTAATCACTATTTTTCAATTTTTCTCTTGTTTTCTATGTGCCATATTTATGGTCTTCTTTTATATAATAGAGGTTTCCCTGATTCATAAATTACAAAACAAAGCAATTATATCTATAACTAAATGTATTTTAATTTTATCTTTTGACAGGAGTGCTGACCATTCAGAAAAAAAGCTACAATAAGTAAGGTAGGAGAAAAATTTAAAATAATACAAGCTAGCAAAATTGCTTCAAGAATATTGAATTTAATGATATCATTAGAGATAGTTATGATTCTAAATAATTAATAGTGTATGAAATGTAAAATGGTTCTCCAAAAATACTAAAAGAAATAAGAAGAGAGTAAATAAAATGAATTGACTGTATAATAACATGTATAGACATGAATTTTTATAGTGCTTTTTCCAAATATAACTAATTTGTATCATGATTAATTCGTATCCATCTGAAATATTAGTCAAAATATGTCCCTATATTCATATGTTGTGCTAAATATAGCCTTGACTAACGTCAGTTGAAAAAGATGTAAGACTCAAATCCATTCAATGTCCATCCCTAAAGTATAAATACCACTTGTGGAATCTTGAAATTATGAACTTGCAGTGTTAACATTTCACAACCTCATTTTGGCATTATGTAACCATTGATATTTAGAACCTTCCAAGGTAGTGGCAGACTATAGGAATGAATAGTTAACATATAAATTATACATATTATGATTCCATTTTATTATAGGCTGTGGGGTAGGTAATAATAGATTCAGTGGTGATAATAGATTCATTGCAATAAAATTTTATTGCAATGTTTGAAAAACAGGGATTATTGAAGATTAGTTGATGAGGTCAGAGAGATAGCTCAGCAGTCTAAAGTATCTGCTTACGCAAGCTGAGGCAGGTGTGGTGGACTGTCGTTTGATCCCTGGCATCACATGCCATGCTAGCTCTGCCCTTAAGGCAGGACAAGCCAGTCAAAAATTAACTGGTATCCTTATGACATTATTGTTATCCACTCTTCTGATCTAGGACTGCATATAATAAAAGGAAAGTTTCATCTGTTTGCTTTGTAGCTTTGTATGATAGGTTACAAAAATGGTTTTGAAGACAATGTCAAACAGTTGAAAAATTGTGCTACTTTGTAGTCTTCAGAACATAGTTGGTACTCATAACCACTAGGTGGCTTACAAAATGACTCTAAATTTTATCACCAGGATTCTGTGTTAACTTTACATCTGCATATGACAGCTTTTATAGGATAGTTTATTTCCTGTGCCCACTGTCCCACTAAGGGATAGGAAAAACATGAATAGAACCCTCATTATATAATTTTTCTTCAAAATTTTGTATTATTTAAATATTTGATTTTGTTGTTTAAAAATATGTTATATTAAAAATATCTGTTATCTGAAAACTCCAGCAGTATATTGCCCCAAAATGTAAAATGATATTTAATTCAAATCAGATTCAAGAGCATAAGTGGAAAATTGACTTCTCTCCTGATAGCAGTTACTTGGAGTTAAAAAGTAAAATTATAACTACATAATATGTAGTTTACTGATAACTTTCCAAATTTGTAAAAATTTACAAGATGAATAGATAAAATAAAATTTAATATGATAATCAAATTGGCAAAGTCCATAATAATTAGCGATAAAAGAATAAAATTACATAAAATAAAACCTGAGCATTGAGAAACTTCTGAAACTGGTTATGTGACTTCCCTATATAAAGAAAGAAACTGATGTTCAAAATATGTATTAACTCTCTGTTAGACTTTAAGTAGTTCAGGTACATTGTTTAATACTGAAGTCAGTTGTTCCCTATAAGGATGATATAATTATTGCAGTGAATAGGTGTTCCTGGCAAAGAGAATGAGTATTAGCTCTAATGCATTAGGTTATCTTTCTTTTTCTCCTATTATTGCTATCTCAACATTTTAAAATTTAATTATTTTGCTACTGCATTATGGAAATAGTTCTGAAAAAGAAAGTGTAACCTGCAGTTTCACATCATGGCTATTACATTAGATGTCAGGAGAAAATATTAATTTACCAGACTTCTCTGCTTATTTTAAAGCAAGCTAAATTTATGAAAATATTATTTTTGCATTTTCAGAGCACTTGAATCACTGCAATAAATTTTCATCAGAATTTGAAGATGTGACCTTATCATATAGAGGAGACAATTTCATTTTGGAATGATGATTTTACTCTTTGTAGGCAATAAAATTCACATTAGAGTATCTGCAAGAGAAAGTGATGGACTTGATCAACACTGCTTAAATTATTGTCCCCAAAGTTATTGCAATATATCTTATGAGATAACGGATGAATAAAAATGTATTAGCATTCTTCAGAACACTAGATTTTTGTTACTTTCTTACTATGTAAAACAAATTGAAGACAATGGGAGTCATGAATGAAAGCCTCCCTGAGGAGTTCATTCTACTGGGCTTTGCTGACCGACCTTGGCTGGAGCTCCCTCTGTTCATTCTTCTTCTGATAACATACCCCATGGCCATGATGGGAAACATTGCTATCATCCTGGTGTCCAAGTTAGACCCTCATCTTCACAGCCCCATGTACTTCTTCCTCACCAACCTCTCCTTTCTGGACATGTGTTACACCACAAGCATTGTCCCTCAACTCCTCTCTAACCTGGGGAGCTCTAAGAAGACCATCACCTATCTAGGGTGTGCAGTTCAGCTTTATGTCTTCAGCACAACAGGGGCCACAGAGTGTCTGCTTTTGGCCGTTATGTCCTTTGATCGCTATGTGGCCATCTGCAGACCTCTGCACTACACCCTCGTCATCAATCAGCACATCTGCTTTCTCCTAGTATCCACAGTGTGGTTGACAGGTGTTATCTATGCTGTTTCAGAGGCCACCATTACACTTCAACTGCCACTATGTGGCATCAATAAATTGGATCACTTGTTGTGTGAGATTCCAGTTCTGATCAAGACTGCCTGTGGTGAAAAACAGGCTAATGAGCTTGCACTGTCTGTGACTTGCATTTTTATCATAGCTGTTCCTCTATGTTTAATTTTAGCTTCTTATATGTGCATTGGAAGTGCTGTGCTGAAAATTAAATCATCTGAAGGAAGGAAAAAGGCCTTTGGCACATGCTCCTCTCATCTCATTGTTGTTCTATTATTTTATGGTCCAGCTGTCAGCATGTACCTTCAGCCCTCCTCCTCTATCTCCAGGGACCAGCCCAAGTTCATGGCTCTCTTCTATGGGGTCGTGATTCCAACACTCAATCCCTTCATCTATACCCTAAAGAATAAGGACATGCGGGGTGCATTACAGAAGCTGGTGAGGGGCATTTTTTGTTCCAAGTAACAATTTGGAAACATTAAATAAAATTGCTTAATAAGTAGAATTTTTACATATTTATAAAATAACTTACTTTGGCATTTTAAGCTCAAGTTATATAATCTCAGAAAATGCGTAAGGTTTCTTATATTCTTGATAATTTTGAGTGTGATATTCAGCTAATATACATGTGGATGGGCATACTTTTGAAATATTTGAAAATTGTTCTAATCTGGTTCCTACACACATCAATAGTAAAATATATTGATGTAAATTATAGTATAAATGTATTATTTCAAACTAACCTCCATAGAAATCTCATGCAGTCTTTCATCAATGCACTTCCTGTTACTGCTTGGTGAGGTCTCAGGTTCTTCCAAACCCTAAGTGGTGAACTCAGCTTGTCCTGGGAAGTTTCTTTGCTCTCATTATGGACAAGCATCTCAGGTTGCATCAATGAGGTACATGCAAACACACACCAGAATTAGAATGAGCAGGTGGCATGGCTGCATAATTGCAAGATAAATGAATCTAGAAAATGGACTTCAGCTTAAGTAATTAGATGGGCATAGTTCTAAGGAAAAAATGACTCACACAAGGTGAAACATTATCCTCTTTTATATGGCTGTTGAGACAGATTATGGTCTGTGTGATCATGTCATTATTTCTGATTTGGCAGTGTGGCTTTAGAATGGAAGTCATTACTGCTTGCTCTAATCTGCATGGATGAGTCTCTGTCTGAAGAAGTCTAACTTTTGTACAGGCCGACCTTCAATACAGGGTTACTAGAGTTCTCGTCAATGATTAGAGACTTTAGATGCTCATTGATAGTTGAGTATTGATCTTTTCAGGCTTGAAAGGAGATGAAATGATTTATATAATTTAGAACAAATCACTCTTGACTTGCCAACTTTTAGGTAGAGTCCCTCTATGATTCATACAATTATAAGTAGATCTGAGCAGGAATCTGATGCAAACTTTACACAGATACAAAGGAAGTCAAGATTTACTCTACATCTCTAAGCCCAAAAGATGAATCAGTTTATTTTTAAAGTAAATACTGCTCTTAAATCCTGTCTGCCTTAGCGGCATATAAAATGCATGCTTTTAATAAGTAACCAATTAAAGGTCCAGAAGCTTGTTTTCTGGTCCAGTGGTGTTCTATAGTAGTCTCACTGTGAACATAATCTAAGAAACATTTCTTCATTCCCTGCAGTCATGGACAGTCAGTGAACATCCTAGGAACACTGCACAATCCTTATGAATCATTCTATTTTTGAAGAATAATAAATATAATAAATTTGTGGCTGATGTTTAAAGTAGATGCTTGACATTAAAATAAAGAAATATAACATTTGCTTAATATATTAGTGTGCAATCGTTTATACATTTAAATAACTTATTTTGAAATATTAAAGAATTAAGATATGTGATGTACATGTATATACTGTCCATGACAAAAATAAATCAATGTGTATTACCAAAACTAAAAAGAAAATCAATTACTATCAGCAGACAAAAATGAAAATTAAAACAAAATATTACAAGGAATAGAAAAAAGAGATAATTTTTCAACTTTCCCTTCTAAAATCCAGGAGGAAGTGATACTAATAATAATTTGTAACCTGACAACATTTCTGTGCATGAATTGGAGCAGTCAGGAATTCCTGTTGACTGTGAAAAAGCAAGATGAGAAAGAATTTGTATGTTTAGCGTCAAAAGCAAGTTGATATCCTAAATAATGAATATATTTTATTGAAATTCAGAATTGAATGATGATCAAAAAGGTACCATCCATGTCTAAAGTTAAGTTTTTTTTTGAAAACTATATTCTCCTTTTTAAAAAATATATGGTAAAATATTGTCCTATATGATTTGAATAAAACAACTTTACATGGAAATTGATCAAGTCATGATGGCTCCTTCTTCTTTAATGGGATTAGAGTCCTTGTGATAGGCGTTTGATACATGATTTTGTTCTTTGGATCCTATTAACCTTCCTGGTGTGAGCACGTGAATCTCACTTCCAGAAGATATATTGACACAATATCATTGTTAAAGTGAAGACAAGGACTTTATCAGGCTATAAATCTGTATCTGCATGCAGAAATATGAAAAATGATTTGCTATTGTTTCTACATTAGTGGTCCTCAGGATTTTAACAGCGTGAAAACATGAAGAAGCTGCCATAACTTTAAAATCCACACAAATTTACTTTTAGTTTATGAAATATTAGGTCCCTGTATGCTATTTGTATTAAATGTATATGTTGAAAGTAGAAGATGTGCTTATTATCTATCTGTACTATTGGGAACCATAAATGTTTAATATTGATGATCATTATGGAGATGTAAATTTAAACACTGAGACAACATCTTACTGCAGAATGTCCATCATCAATAAATCACATTACAACGAATGCTGGTGAGACTGTAGGGTAAAAATCCCTTCTACATTACTGGTGAGAAAGTACCCTAGCAAAACCACTATGGAAATAAGTATTCAGTTTTCTTAAAAATTTAAAAATAGAAGTTTTATTTGACCAAGATAACCCCCTTCATTTTTGTTTTTAAGCAGGAGTTTCCTGAATAACAAATCAGAGAACATAAATCATATTAATAACTATACTGGTTGATTGTGCCAACTTGATGAGTTTAGAGGTTTAACTAAACTGGCTTAATAATTTTACATCCTAAGCTGTGGAATATCCACCCTTAGTAACTCATCCTCTGGATGGTATAAAGGAGAAATGAATAAAGGCTGATAATTTCTGCAGTTTCTGTTCTGTGGAACAGCTCCAGTGTTTACCTTCAATTTGGATATTATCTTCTGGTTTCCAGCATAGATTCTTCAGGTTTCATCATAGACTTTTTAGCCATCCATTGCAACCCATCAAGTGAAACAAAGAAAAAACATTTTAAATTTAAAAATAGTGCAAGTTTACAGTTAGGTAATGCATAAATTTACAAAACAAGGTATTTTGACTGCATCTTTCCACGTTAGAGCTATCCTGTCATCTAAAAAATGAATTATGCTCTATTCTAAGTGGAATGGTTAAAACAACTAGAAAGTCTTGCACCCAATGTCTTTTGCAAATATAATATTTAGAATTCTAATTTGTGATGAGCCCCTGAGGTGACTGAAACATGAGGATTTCCTAAAGAAGTGTTAAATTTGATGGAGTAGGGAAATGTTTACCAGAGTTTGTTTTAAAGAGGGACACTAGACAGAAACCTAGATAATTTCTGCCTTAGTGTGATAAGAGAAATGAACACTTTTTCATATTACAATAAAAATGACAGTATATGCTTAGAAAATGCTTCTCTACCTGACTAGAAATATGTACAAAGTTCACACAAACATAAAATCAATTTTCAATGCACAATGAGTATTCACTTAGTCATTTAAAAATTTATTCCCTGAAAGTCTACACTTTCTTTTTTCCACTAAGACTGACTAAATATGATTTTTAAAACTTTGTCCACTTATACCAGCAGCCTTGAGGAAATTATCTTGAGGCATACAGGGATCTATTTAATTCATATAGATAAGGGACTACGTGAGCAACTACTCACTTGTGTTTCACTATACTTGATATATTGCTTCCTATTAATCAACTTTCTCAATAACTATTATATCAAACTATGCCTATAAGTATGTCCCTGCTCTGACACAACTTGTAGCAAACCTGTCTATTTACATCCCAGGTCCCTTGTCCAGATTCTGTCCTTGAAGAACCAGCTCTCTTGGTCTTTCCCCACCCATGTCCCACTTGTAGGGACCTATGTCCTGCTAATATGTTCCCATGACCTGAGGGTGAATGAGAATGAAAAACAAGCAAACACCAAATATTTTCACATGAGATTAGCCAAGGTTTCTTGATTCTAGTAGATAGAAGAGCTCCAAGCATCTGGCTTGTCCTACTTTTATTCATTTAGACATGGGTGCAATCTATTAGAGTCAAACAAGATTCATCTGCTTCCTATAAAAACTAAAGTATATGTTCAGATAAAGTACCAAATCTCAGCCTTATTAACTTTTGCCTAGAACTTGCAAGAGCCCATCATCCCTGCAAGTTGTCTAAGAAGCACAACCTTCTGTCCTTTTGTCTTTCTCCTTTGTGTTCACAAAAGAGGTCAATTAGGCCTCAGTTCTACTTGCCAGGTCTATAACTCTCCTTTACTGTTTCAACTACAACAACCTCTAAACATCAATCACTACCACTCATCCACAGGAGGAGTATGCAGGTACAGCCATTCTACACTTTGCCTTGAGGTTAAGACTTTAATAACTATACCTGTCCTTGACTACAATGCATCTGTACTGACTTTTTGAGAGCACAACCTTATCTGACTGCCCATACCAGCACAGCTGTCTCAATATTCAGAAAGCACCCATTGCTGTAACCACAATAGGTTAAGATCATTCTGGTTCCTTCTAGCTGAAGAGGGGGATAGTTGTGATCAGCAATCACCCGCCCCTCCGAGGGCCCGTCCAAAGTCCCTTATAAGGCAGCCCTCCTTGATGGATGAGTTTTGCTGCCTCCTGGTTAGTTTCTCCAGTTGTCTTGTAAGGTGAAACTCTGACTAGTAAGGAAATCAGAGTTAAACTACTACACAGGCAACTATACTATCTACCCTTCTCCTATGACACAAACAAAATCTGCCCTTATACCAGTAGAGTTCCCAAATAACCACAGAAAATAGTTTAATTTTTTTTTTCTGGAACTCTGCATACCTCCTACTTCTTCAAGGCCCATTCAGTTTCTTCAAAAAGATATGGATACTGTTGCCAAGAATTGACAGTAAGCAATATATTATCCACACAAAATATTGTTTGAGCTTGAGGAAATTTTCTCCAGCAAAATACATCCTATCTTTGCAAATTATTTTCCTTAAGTTTAATAATACTTACACAGGTTTGGACCACCCATAATTCTCCAAGACAAAACCTATTGTTCCTCATGACAATCTGCACCAGTTTCTATAAATCCCTGAAAACATTTTTCCTTAATTATAACAATATTA